CTTACCAGCTGTCGCTCGCGCTCGCCATCGGCAGCCCTTTCGGGATCAAATTCCATCACGGTTCGTTGCCCGCCATGGGCACCCCCAAAACGAAGGAGAGCGATTGAAGATAAGCTAAACGGTCGCTATGCATCGCCTAGTGACCCCATCCATACCTGGGGAGCTCCGGGATCCTCAGGCCCAGGAAGTGGACCATCATCGACAAGCGAGGACTCTGTTACAGCCGCGCCTGTGAGCCACTGCGGCAAGTGGGCATGAAGATACCCTCTGGCTAGTTTGTGCAGGTCAGTACCATCTTCTTCGGATGCACCAATCGCCTAAATGGCGAACGACCAACGGCTAACGCTGGCCTGCCTTACTCGCTCCCAACCCTCTTGGCATAGCTCCGAATAGGCGCCTCTTATGACTTTGAGGATGCCGGCGGCAGCAGCTAGACGTGGGCTAACAGTGGAATCCTTATCAAGTGCCAGAGTCAACATATAGTCGGTTATCTCGGATAACCGAGGTAGGAGCTCTGAAGCAAATCCATGGCGAGTCAACGGCTAGTTAAGCCGCATACGCCGAGAAATGGCAGACGGGAACTGCTCCCTCTTAAGAGCCGTAGCATCCAGAGGCTCGTTGTCATCAATATCCCGGAGACTGTTAAGTTGATGGAAGGCCCAGAGGCGCATCCCGAGGATCACGACCTGGGCCGAGCAGGGTGGACAGCCCCGATCAAGGCACTCAAGACCAACCTGCTGCTTGACCATCTCCTCTTCATCAGCCCAGCCCTTCACCAACAAGCGGAAGGTATCGACCACCGTATAGGCACATACAGCGAGGCCTATAGGGAGAGGTCTAATCTTCACCCAACATCGATCAGTTGACTGCTGTACCATCTGCTTGAGCTAACAGCCAAACAATGGAAGCCCTAGCTGCAGGAGTAGTCAGCGACTCGAGAGCCTTCGATAGGCCGAGGAGCACCGTCTTCAAATCGCCTTGGTCACCATACCGTTTCCTGTGCGCTATGATGTCTCGCACCTTCACAGGAGTATATACAACTCAGAATTCGGGAGACCGCCAAGTGACGATGGTCTTTCCACTCACAGCAACGGCTGCCTCATTAGCCAAAGAGGAACATGTACTGTCGAGCATGTTCACCAAGCCGACCATTATCCTATCCGACGTAGGCTGGTATTCTCTAGCTATGCAGGTTATCAGGTTCATCACTTTCGCGTGGAAGCCCGTTAAACCTGCCAGACCAATCATCGCCTGGCATGAGAGATCCTGAGCCCTGGGCCGATGGGACGATGCACCCTCACAGGACTGCACTGACCCGGTCGGTGATGCCACCGCACGTAGGTCTGCAACTCGGCGAGGACCTCATTGGCATTCGACGCATCCAGCAGCTCGTGCAGTATGGATAGCTTCAGCTCAGCCACCAGTGGACTGTCATA